CTTTTCAAAAGGTAACTATGGACGTGTATATAAACATATCAACCAAAATTAGTGTCGATAAATTAATTTTGTCTATTCTCCGATGTTTTGGTCATCGCAACATACCCAGAGATGAAATATGATATTTTCATGACTAGCTGGCGACCTTGTACGGCTAAACCATCCTTTACTACATTAAAAACAAATATAGCTTCCTTCACCACATGGTCAAGTGGCGGCTACTACATTTACACACACACACACACACACACACACACACATATATATATATATATATATATATATATATATATATATATATATATATATATATATACTGCCTCCCAGATTCATTCACTTAATCTATCTCCCTTTTTCCACAACAATCTGTAAATTTTCTTTTAATCATTACATGAAGCTAATATAAACCCAAATCAATTATACCGATCTATGGTGGGAACGGATGTTGTGTAAGATCCACAACATATCTATAACTGATAACCCCAATATAACATACATTTTGAAAGATATAAGTGATAAAAATAATGTTGTTTCCAATCTTACTGGTAATGTTCATGTAATGTATTTTAAAATACATTTTTGGTGTGGGGAAGTACTGGTCGTTACTGACTATCCTACACCGAGATAATCTGATTCATTCACCAGAATACATCCTTCTACACAGAGTTACGCAATGGGAAAATCAAAGGCTTATCCAGAAATAAAAAGGGGATGAAAGCAAACTGGGAGTTTGCTAATCTTGACATGGATGACAATAAAAGAGTGTGCCGGGAATAACAATTACATTAACAAGGTGAACAAAAAAAGACTAAGAAAGGGGTCCGTCAAGAACCCGCCCCGTTGTGCCTATAGGTGATTAAAAAAGAAGATCAAAATGGGTCCGATTCACACGAACCAAGTTAGCCACTTTTACCCACCTTTCGCTGAAATCAAACACTCTACTAGATCCGATGTTCATCCTGAGAAGATGTCTATAAAACCCAATTAGATCCTGATGAAACTAATTTTCGACACGTAAGATTCCGTCCATCTGCGTCGTCAAAACACCATCCTTGCCACGGCTAGCATCATAAGAAACACTAAGAGCCCGAATTTATCTCCTCTTATTCGTTTTGCTACTGTTCTTGTTGTTGCTGTTTTTGTTGGCGTTGCTGTTGTTGACGCTGTTGCAGCTGATGCTGCTGCTACTCCTGCTGTTGGATCTGTTGCTCTATTCCTGTTGCTGCTATTGTTGCTGTTGCTACTGATAATCTTGTCCTCCCCCACTGCCTGTTTAGATGTACACGATTGAGGCGCCGTGTTCCAGCCTGGACACATTTTTGCCAAGGGCACGGCGGCACCACGCGACCAGCAGAGGGGTCTTCTTACCTCCACGATAAGGAACATATTGCGGACTCTGCCTGTCAGTGTATTGGGGATGTTCAGGAAGCCTTTCCTGCGTAAGGTCACCTGGAAACCAAAATCTCCAGTGGCAACGCCTGTCTTACTTAGTGCCCGAACGACATCCCCGGCCTGACCATACTTGGCGAAAAAGGCCCCAACATATTCCACAGATATGTCCATGATCACCCCATGTACTCTAATTTTGGTCCGATGAGTGCCCATATATTTCGTTTGTAAACAGACCGCCTTGGTAACCAGGATACTTTCTGCCAGTTCCTTCGCCCCATCTTCCGTTACCAACAGTACGTCGCACATAACATTTGGTCTTTTTGCCAGAATCTTCGGCGCAATATTCAGGCATTACAATGTCTCTTCTATCATTTCCCTGTTAACGCCTATCAATTTACGGATTTTCACCTCTGTTGTCAGCAGGAAGATAGCTCTTGTGACTGCTTTAAGAGTTTCGGAGATGGTTAGTAGCTCATTTCCTTTCATGAAATTCTTGTACTTCTCTCGCATCCGCTCAAAATAAGATGCGTCCTTTTTGGCCTATTAGAAGTTTATACAGAGTACGCTCCTCCGGATGTAATGATCGGAAACTCGACGTATCTCCTCCTTACACAATTCTGCGCCCATGTTCACGGCTTTGTAACCGACGTCTAACTACCTGACGCTGGTGGAAGACCTACTCTTATGCTTAAGCCTCTCCCTCTACTTATTCCCAATAGCCGTTCCCACTGATTAACTTTGCAATAAACTAGTCAGTTGTTGCCGGAAGTCTTTTCTGTCCAGTAAGGAACTTCCAGTGTCCAGCCATCCGGGCACAGACAAGTCTGTGTTCCGAATAGCCTAATAAGTGGAACGTGGAGTAATCTAGAAAATCTAGATCGACTCTTCTCATTTACATTCTATCAATGTAGCTGGCTACCCGGGTAGACAGCCACATAAGAGCCCACGTCCACATCTACCCGTTATCTATCGAGGAGATTGAAATCGTTGATCAGTTCGACCAGGTTATGATCACTCAACTTCCCGCTCTGTCTGGTCGTTGGGCACATAAACCGCAACGATCTGAAACGAACTACTGTTCACGTCAATATCGGCCACGATCAACCGGCCCCCTGCATCGACATGGACAAGGTGACTTCTCCTACACCGAAGGAAAAGAGCCCACACAGCAGACCCCACAAGCCTCTCGCCAGATTGGTATCCATTTTTTAATACAACCTTTTAGACGCAGACTGGACAGAAAGCTGCGTGGAACAGGACCCGGACCTGGACGGATTACCCTATAATCCTACATCAGATGTAATTCGTCTGTCTAGGACAATACCGCCGACGTCCTATATAGTGAGGAGTGCAGCAACACCGGACCCACCCTTCATATAATTTTAAAGCAATGCCATCAGGTACACTTAAGAGGACCTTCGACTTTGAACACAACAATTTTGTTTTAGAAAAAAAAAACTACACGCAGATGATGATGACATTGTGTCGAAAGTACTCGGAATAAATTAATATGTATCAACATGGTAAATTTTCTCTCTTCCTTTAATAAGGATACTACGAAGCTTGTTCGTGAATATGAGAAGATCCGATTGAAAATAAGTAGACCACACTTGTCTAAATTATTCAGTGAGACATGTCTTAATGCTGCCAAAAATATACGCAATTTAAATTATATATATATATATATATATATATATATATATATATATATATATATATATATCTGTTTATACGTTATTTTTATAGATACAGATATTTTGGTAAATGCTCTGTTTATAATAAATAGTATTAACACTATTTACGGGCCTGAATATCCTAGAAATTTCATAGAAAATATGTGTCCTCCGACAGAAATCGAACCTGTATCTTAGACGGAATCATCATATAGCCTGACGTGCTATACCATTTAGGTACAGAGGAATCGTCTGGTTATCAAGGTCAAATTACTATTTTTAACCAACAAATTTCACATGATTTCTCTCGAACGATCATATCTGTCCGAAGCGTATCTTAACGTAAACAAATAACATCATATATTATGAAATGGACTAAATCCGACAATTATTTTAATATATTTACGTTTCAATTTTAAATAAATCAAAATGTTTGGCAGCAAGTTTTATCAGCAACTTGAGATTTTTCTTGTTAAAAAGTTGAATACTTTATCAAGCACATTCAACATTGTGGATACAAATAGTGAATTATATATTGTATGCGTGTGTTTGTTTTTTTTTCGAGACTTCCATTAGAAAAATGAATTTACGGATTTGGTAAAAAACACAGAATTATGTCAAAATTAGCGAAAAATTTGATCCCTTAATAGTCAGTTGTGCTTAGTTTAATTTGTAACGTATATAAATGTAAGTAAAATCAAATGTTGTTAAGTTAGCGAGGGTCACAAAGCACTACCCAGGGCCTCGATCAGGCTTACCCCCACCCTGGTTCGAGGGTTTGTGGTTGGTGTGCACCGTCCCTGATTACAATATTACCCAGCATAAAAATATCAATTTATAAAGAATATGTAATATTCATCCGCCTTTTTCATTTTGGGGTTTCGTAGTTCTTATCTCAGTGGCTTAAAATCTCAAATTCTCATAAATAAGATTTAATTTTGACATAATAAAAATATTCTTTAGTATAAAAGAAAAATCAAAAGATAATCTACAATATCTTAACTAATACACAAAATAGAATATTCCTTAAAAGTGAAAGCCTGTCAAATCCGTTAAATAACAGACTTTACTGCCAGTATTCAAGTTAAAACACAATTTCAAGTTCGACTTCTGACTAGAGTGGGCATTATGCTTTCTTATATCCTGGATGTTATTTCATAAAACATTCTTATGTTATTTTTTGCTTGGACATGCAAAAGATAATATAGTTAATCATAGATCTATGCATACGCTCACATATAAAAAGAACGTTTACACAGCTAATAATAGGATCTTTCTTCATAGAATGCTAGAAATTTAATTATTTATTTAGAAATGTGCGATACCACGCATTGAGAAAATGCTAGACCTGCGCAAGAAAGACAACTAGAGAAGAAAATAGTGAGACAGGAAAAAAAAGGACACCATGCATTGTTTTATGAGATTGTAAGTCAAAAGTAAAATCATTATTTATTTAAAATAAATGTAAGTTTTTCTTTAATATCGATTTATATAAAACATTAAAACTGTCACTGCTGAATTTGTTCAGTGATTGACTTGCATAATCGAAAGCGTATTGTTGATAAAGCATACTTTTTTCGTCTAGCAATTTTATAAAACAATTCCTGGCATACAACAATGTATTTTACGAATCAATTTCATCGTTTGCCATTGAAACATTTTTTATTCAAATTAATTTAGTCTATTTGAGCGGAAAACTAGTTGAATTATATAGCATAAAACTAACTGGCAAAAGTTTGTAAGAATTCAGTTCATTTTTATTTTTTAGTCTTTCAAAATGAATCCTTGCAACACGTCAAGCCCAAGTGTCCCAGAAACCTACTGAGATTTTTCATGTAAAATGAAATCTAGAAATACTGAAATAGTTAATAACACACAATCGCTGTCACTGCGAAACTTTTAAAATTTAAATAAACAAAAAATAAATTCACTCACAGATGTATTGCATGTTCCCAAGAAGTTTTACTCTCTGTATTCACCGTTTAATATTCAACCAACCTGAAAATAAATATTGAAATGGGTTGCATTAAGTATATATATATATATATATATATATATATATATATATATAAACACTACTTAAGCACCACCACTTTTGGTATGTCCGTCTGCCTTTCCTTGTTTTCCTCAATGTTTTCATTATTTCGACGCGGGGATTGCCAGTAATACGTGTGTTGGAGTAGATGTCGTCATTTAACTCCCATCCCATATCAAAGTGCCTCGGGATCTATCATTTTGCCATCAGATACATTCTTGGTTTCTTCCTGACACAAGCAACTGACGATGTTTAAATTCAGCCAGCCAAAATGCTAGAAATTTAATTATTTATTTAGAAATGTTCACTGATACGTGATACTTTGAATTTTGTTGGAAGAATAAAAACAGTAAGGAATGGAATCTCGTTTGGAATTTATTCTTTATATCTTTAAATAGGCCTCTTATGACTAAGAGTCATAGGCGCCAGTGATAACATCGGATGATATTCAAGACAGGAAAGAAAATTGACGCAATACTATTTTCCTACTTCAGTTCATCGCTAATTCGTAATGCTTCATACCTCGACTTAGGAGCTAGCAGTACCAAATTATTTTAATCCCACCTAAACTAAGAATTAGCAATAAATTTCTAACAGCTTTTAGTTATTAGACCCCCCCAAAACTTAGACGCAGAAAGTAAATATCTTTTCTTTAATTTCCAGTACTGACAAAAGAAGGGGATAAAATTGATTTGGGATTGGCTGGGGAAGAACTTGACGAAGGAGAAGTAAACACCGAATAATGACTGCTTTTATTCAACAGTTTACAGAATATAGTCATTGCATTAATTTCAAGTTTCTTTTTCATGATTTTTAAAATTTTCTTATTAAAACTTTTTCATTAATTTCACATGGGATATATCGATAACTTAACTGTCTACTTATGCAAACAATTTCGACTTAAGCGATTGTCCAGTATCGTGACCTTGTGCTGGACTCAGTTAGGTTTTAATATATGTTTTCAAAGAAGTAATTTATATCTATGCGTATGTATATTTGTTTATGTATATGTTAAGACTAAGAGACAAAGAAAAACTATTTGATAAGGAAAGGGTGATGGATACATAGCCCAAATTTTACCCTAATCCTAACCCCCATAAAATACATTACAAAACATTTTCATTTGATTTAGTAGCAAAGCCAAGGATTGAACTGTTATGAAATTCCTTGCAACATACAATAATCATGGATAAAAGCCTCTACAGGTTACGATATATTGAAAAGATAAACAGAAAAAAATCAGAAATTCGTTGCTGAATTCAAATACAAAAGAAAATTGTTATATATGTATACATATATACACAAATTGATATTCTGGGAAAAATATCTGGTTTTTAAGTGATTGTGTGACAAAAAAGAAAAATAAATCGACTCGGTCAGTGTTGAGATCAATTTCGGTTCATCAAGTAGAAATGAATGAGAAACGACGCCAGAGAAATTTTAGCCAAAAAACTTATCGTTTATCTGGTTATCCATTTTAAAACAAAAAGGCAGCGGTAATTTTTCTTGTGCACACCTTTTGTGAATTATGGGCAAAATAATTTTATATTTTATACATTTTAATAAAAATTATTTATCGCTTGAAATTATGATTATATTTTTGTTTTTATCAGAATTAAACATAAAATCGGACATTTATTGAATGTAAATTTCATATACCAAGAAGATAGAAATCTAAAACACTTAGAAACTTGCCTTTAAATTTTAAAAAATATACCAAAAATTTTCCTTTGAATTTTGTTGGAAATACTTTCGAAAAAGAAGCTTGTATTATTAGGCCTCTTTTCCCAGTTAACAAGAGTTAGCTAAAAATGTTAGTGCAACTAAAAATAAAAATAAAAGGACTTGTTAGATTACAAAAAAAGGAAGAAGAATAACAATAGGTTAAATCGGAACTGGCAGCGTCAGATAAAGCAATCCTTTTTTAAGTTCTGGGACATAACCGGAAATACTGAACGATAATATTAATTTCTCAATAAATAAATAAATTGCTTGTGCGCTAACAGACATACGCGCGTGAAAAACCTCCCAATACTAATAATTAATTTCTATGAGTACACCACGTGTACAAACCTCCTCAACAAATAATTTGGTCATGTTCCCCCACTTGGTACAGAATAAATTATATTCAGAATGAAATGAAATAAGTTGTTGTAAGGTTGTTTTCTCGTCTTTCATTTCCGTTTATTCAGTGTTGGTGTATCAATAGATTGTAGAGGGTGCAAAGAAGTCCCTCAAACAAATAATAAAAAGAAAATACACTACAAATAAAGTAAAATAAACTTTTGTTTATTTTTGTAAAAAAATTTTTTTTTCTTGTACAAAAATGAAATTGTCCGTAAAGCTGCGGAAGAAAAAAGAGAAAGAAAGGAACTGGGAATGTGAGAGGGAAAGGTAGGACTATGTGTAGAGAGCGAAATGAGAGAAAGAGAGGGTGAAAGAATGTTCACTGATACGTGATACTGCCTGTTGTGTGAACCGCTGAATCCTCTCGGTGTGTGTGTGCTCGAAACTGTCCGTGTCGCTTTGATGTCAGCTTGTCGCTGTTCTCTCTCCCTTCTGATGAGAGTTTCTACCTTCCTTATATAAGAATGATGAGGCTCCGGGAGATTAAGAAATGGGTTTCTTATGTCGAGTCCTGATTGGTCAATAAATCCTATTTTTTTGACCACGTGGTGTCTTTTCACTACGTCCGAACTTTTGGGTGCGCCGTCCTTGTTTTTGACCCCACAGGGCATGGTAAGGAATGAATTCCCTCGCAATTGTATTTTTTTGATACACGTGGTGTGAATTAATTTTTATTGTGTGTATGTGTGTGTGGAAAATAAAATAAGAAACAGCACAATACTCCCCCCAGATTGGAAAATATATGAAAGATACATATGTTTTTCAATATGTGATATATTCTTTAAAATGTTTCGGCCAGTGGACTTTTCTGCCAGTTTTCGTTGTAGGTGTGATGTCAGTATTTTGTTTTTTAGCTTCCTCATTTTCTGTGTGAATATGTGTTTGTGGAGGTATTGTATGAGGTTGTTCGTCGATGTACGCTGGTTTGATGCGATCAATAGCGATATTATCTTTCTTTTCTTTTCTCATAACAGTAAAATATTTTTCATGCCTGTCCAGAACTTGATATGGTCCTGAATAATTTGGACAGAGTGGTTTTTTAACTGCGTCATTTCTGATAAATATATATTTGCAGGTGTGAAGATCGTTTGGGATGTAAGTTTGTTTCTCTGTTTTCCTGGTTGGTGCAAAGTTGAGAAGAGACATTTTATGTTTTAATTCTGTTACAAACGTTGTTGTAGGTGAAATGTCTGTCTTGTGATTAAAATACTGTCCAGGTAATGTTAATGCTGATCCGAAAACTACCTCTGCAGGTGTGCTTTGCAAATCTTCTTTCACCGTGTTTCTTATCGCTAAAAAGAATTAGCGGTAAATTGTCTGTCCAGTCCGCATTATTTAAATTCATAGCTAGAGAAGCTTTTAACTGTCTGTGGAATCTTTCAACCATCCCATTTGCACAAGGGTGATAGGCGGTTGTTTTGATGTGATTCGTTCCTAACAATTGGGTAAATTCAGCAAAAAAGTGTTGATTGGAATTGTGAACCTCTATCTGTTGTTACTACTGAAGGTACTCCAAAAATTGCTATCCAGTCCTGCAGTATAACTCTGGCTATTGTTGCAGCTGAAGTGTCTTTGACTCTATGGCTGTAGGCCATCTGCTAAATCTGTCAACTATAGTAAGAATATGTGTATGTCCTTTTGAGGTGGGTAAAGGTCCTACTAAGTCGACATGAATGTTGGTGAATCTAGCATCAGGTATGCTAAAAGTGCCAAGTGGTGATTTCGTGTGTCTGTGGATTTTGTTCTTTTGGCAAGGTATACAAGTTTTAGTCCAATTGCGAATGTCCGTGTTCATATTGGGCCAAACAAAGCGTTCTGCTATTAATTTTACAGTGGCTCTTTTTCCTGGATGAGATAAATTGTGAAAATGTTGAAAAACTAGTCGTCTGATGTTCGGTGGTATATATGGACGCGGATGTGTTTGTGATACATCACAATAAAATTTTGTTGTACCAAATGGTATCGGCATTTCTTTCAGTTGTAAGGATGTTTTTTGTTGTACAACTGGAAGTGTTTCATCTGTTTTCTGCTCTTGTGCGATCAATTCCATACTTAAAGAACTGGAATTTAAAGAGGCTATTGTAGATCGAGATAATGCGTCTGCTATAATGTTCTCTTGTCCCTTAATATATCGGATGTCTGTGGAGAACTGGGCGATATAATCGAGATGTCTGATTTCTCGTGGACCATATTTATCTACATGTGTATGTAGTGCATATGTTAATGGTTTGTGATCTGTATAAATGCAAAAATTTCTTCCTTCCAGCAAATGTTTAAAATGTTTAATTGCAAGGTAAATTGCTAGAAGCTCCCTTGAAAAGGTGCTGTATTTCGTCTGTGTCTTGCTTAGCTTAGCAGAAAAAAAATGGTATAGGCGTCATTGTGTTGTTAGCAATTTGGTGTATGACTGCTCCTACAGCTATTTCAGATGCATCTGTTGTAAGCGTGAGTTTTGTGTCCTCACTGTCCGTTACGTAGTTTAGTTTTGTAAAGTTGGCCAAAGCAGTTTTAGCTTGTTTGAAGGCTTCTAGGCTAGGCCTTCTAACTTTAACTGTTGCCCTTCTAACTTTAACTGTTGGTTCTTTGTTTTGTTTTTGTAACAAATCTGTTAACGGTGCAAGTAATGTAGAACAGTTAGGTAAAAATCGTCTGTAATAGTTAATCACGCCTATGAATCTGCGTACTTGTCTGACTGATGTTGGTTGTGGGAAATTTGAAATTGCACTTACTTTCTCGGGTAGTGGAGATATTCCGTCCTTGTCAATTAAGTGTCCGAGGAAATTAAC